TGTCTTTTATCCACTTTTCCTGGTTCTTCCAACTGCTTCTCCAAGTCTAGTCTCTTTCCCTGAGTAAGTTTGCTTAAACCATAGCCCCTTCACAGGCAGTTTAGGGCTTTCTGGGTGGCTGAAAATTCTCTACCAGTTTTGTTATATGGGCAAAGCAGCCCAACAGAGTTATAGCCCTTACAACTCCTATGAATGGTAGAAGCCAGTACCATACCATTGTATTTCAACATTAAGAATAGATTTGAATGTTTCTGGATTGTTTATGGTATCTGTAGAATTGAGACAGACTTAATGAAAAGAATAAAATCCTCTTTCCAAGATTCTTTGAGCTGAGAGAGAGAGGTTATGTTAATATATAGCATGATAGTATTAATCAAGTTGCCAAATAAAGGAATTATAGACTCTAAGGGAAAAAGTCCATGAATAGCTAAGATAAATCATCAATCTTTAAAAAGAAGAGTAATGAGGGATATTCACTCTATAGGACTCTAAAAGAAATAAAAATAGTATAGTACAATATTGGTAAAACAGGAACAAACAGATCAAGGGAAATTATGAGAAAGCTCAGACAAAGACCTGAATATACATACATGGGGATTTACTATAATATAAAATTGGCAGCAGACATCAGTTGGATTATTGAAAAAGCAAGAGAGTTCCAGAAAAACATCTACTCCTGCTTTATTGACAATGCCAAAGCCTTTGACTGTGTGGATCACAACATACTGTGGAAAATTCTTCAAGAGATGGGAATACCAGACCACCTGACCCGCCTCCTGAGAAATCTGTATGCAGGTCAAGAAGCAATAGTTAGGACTAGACGTGGAACGACAGACTGGTTCCAAATAGGGANAGATCCAACCAGTCCATCCTAAAGGAGATCAGTCCTGGGTGTTCATTGGAAGGACTGATGCTGAAGCTGAAACTCCAATACTTCGGCCACCTGATGCAAAGAACTAACTCATTTGAAAAGACCCTGATTCTGGGAAAGATTGAAGGCGGGAGGATAAGGGGACAACAGAGGATGAGATGGTTGAATGGCGTCACCAACTCAATGGACATGAGTTTGAGTAAACTCCTGGAGTTAGTGATGGACAGGGAGGCCTGGCATGCTGCAGTCCATGGGGTCACAAAGAGTCAGACATGACTGAGTGACTGAACTGAACTGAAAATTGGCAGAACAAAGCAATAAAGAAATAATATATTATTTAATAGAGGATGCTGGAAATCTCACTATGTATAAGAAAATGGAAATAGATTCTCCATTAATGAAAGAACCAGATGTTAACAAGTATAAAGTTAATAGAAAAAAATGTAGGATGATATCTTCTGACCTTAAGACAGAATGATACTTCATAAATAAATGTTAAAAAGCACAAAAATAAGGGAAAATGGTGGGTTAGATTATATCAGAAGGTTTCTATTGGATGAAGGACACCAAGAAAGAATCTAAAAATAAGAAAGGAAATATTGACAATAACTAAAACCAACAAAAAGTTAATATCTAGACTATAGAAGGATCTTCTGAAAGCCAACAACAATAGCAAAACTTCCAAGGTTTTTAATGGGAAAGAAGAAGAATATACAACATAAAGAAAAGAAAGAAAGAAAGTGAAGTCGCTCAGTCATGTCCGACTCTTTGCGACCCCGTGAACTGTAGCCCACCAGACTCCTCTGTCCATGGGATTTTCCAGGCAAGAATACTGGAGTGGGTTGCCATTTCCTTCTCCAGGGGATCATCCTGATCCAGGGATCAAACCTGGGTCTCCCGCACTGTAGGCAGACACTTCACGGTAATATACAACATACAGAAGAAATTTAAAAATTTAACAAGCATACAAGGAAATGCCCAAACTCAATGGTTATCAGAAAAACATTAATTAAAATGATAAGGCTATATATCTTTATCCCTACTACCTACTACAAAAATTATGGAACAATGTAAAACATTGTGGGGCATGTGGAAACATAGGAAACGTCTTTCCCTGTAGGAGGGAGTATTGGATGGTACAGACATAATGAAGCGCCATCTGGCACTACCTGAAAAACTGGGGATATGCATAAGCTAATATCCAGTGATTTCTACTCTCAGAGAAATTCACAAATGAATGTGATCAAGGTTACTCCTTGCAGTAGTTTATTTGAAGGAGAAGTTAGAGGATAGCAGTGGATGAGCAGATAAAGAATAGTATGTGAGCTACGTACAACTGCACTGTCCAAAATGTAAGCCATCAGTCAGATATGGTTCATCATATTACTTATTTAAAATTCTTTATTTGATTTGAATTTAAATCATGTAGAATTAGATAAAATAAAAATTCAGTTCTTCCATCACACTAAATATTCTTTAAGTGCTCAATAGCTACATGCATCCGGTGACTACTCCGTTGGATAGGATAGAGTAAAAACATCTCCATCATCAAAGAAAGCTGGATTCAATGTACTGTCATGGAGAAGTATGAAGCAATTTTTAAAAAAGGGATGAAAGTTTCATGAAAGATAATACAGATGGTTCTTAAAAGCATAGTGCCTATAGAAGGGAATTTGAAACACAACTAGCTGTGTTACATAACATCATTTGTATAAATAAAAGTGTGCAGAAAAAAATAATAATACACATTGAGTTAAGTCACCTAAATTAAAAGGTGCATGTTAACCCAAATTGATGGTTTCCTCAAATTGATGGGACTGGAGTAGAGTGTAGGGGTAAAAGGGAAAAAACAAACCCATCTACACAGATTTTAGAGCTGAGAGGAGTTTTAGATTATGAAGTCCACACCATCATTGTGTTTGCCCTTCTGGGCAAGACTACAGTATGAGTAAAACATGATTCCTGACACCGAGGAGCATATAGTTCATTTGGGACACGACTCAAATGTTCAAAGAAAAGTAGTAAGAAAAATTAAATGACTGTGACAAACACCTGAGAGAAAGAGGTATCCAGGAATGCGGAGGTGGGAGAAATCTGGAACGATGCAGGAAAGGTGATGCCGCGGAGGGGCCTTGATGACGGTGGGGGAGAATGAGGCAATGGAACAACAGCAGGCTAGGCAGACAGAAGGAAAGGTAGTAAGAAACCATCAAGTGGAAGGAATGGAAGAAAATCAGAAAAGAGGTTAGCAAGGCAGGCTGGCCCAGAAGGAGCTGGCCGTGGCACATCCTACCACGCCACCAAACTGCACGGTTCACCTGGGAGACTGAGTCATGCTCACTGGCCCAGAACAATGACTAATGCACCTCTTCCACTCTCAAGATGACCCAGTTAGCCTATAAAATATATGCAATTTAATTCTGCATATACAGAGAAATAGGCTGATAAAATTGAGAGATATTAAGGACTTTCTGGGTACATATTGATTTGACACATTATATATCCAAATAAATATTTCTGAGATGTTGTAATTACAAGCACAGGAACAAAATTAGAAGGTGCACTTTTGGAGTGCACCTAATTTTTTCTGTTATCTTTAGAAATGATGAGCTGGTCTTTGGGAAAAAAGGAAAATAATTTACATAAAAACGCTATTTGTGCTTCCAGACAATGACCTGACCTTGAACACCTCATGAACATCTCTATAACAGAGAATTAGGTTCTAATAAAGCTGACTGGAATTCTCCCCTAATACTATGAGGTTGTTAGACACTAACACTACAGTCACTCTCGCTGGAGCAAACCTCGCGGCAGGTGGTAGCAGATTAAAACTGCCACACGTATCCTGTTACATATTTGTAAGAACACGCAGGGAAAAATTCAATTAGGGAAACTCAATTACAATCAGAATGTGTTGAACATTTTGATTACTAAAAATAAGTTGCTAAAAGCACCATTACCTCAATTTTGGTTAAGAGGTCTTGCAGTTCTCCTGATTCGTTCATTGACAAAATTTTCTCAGCACCCTATTAACAAGAGAGGGCAGGGGAGAAAGAAAATCCATTTTGTTAACACACCATCATTGTGTTTGCCCTTCTGGGCAAGACTACAGTATGAGTAAAACATGATTCCTGACACCGAGGAGCATATAGTTCATTTGGGACATGACTCAAATGTTCAAAGAAAAGTAGTAAGAAAAATTAAATGACTGTGACAAACACCTGAGAGAAAGAGGGATCCAGGAATGCGGAGGTGGGAGAAATCCAGAACGATGCAGGAAAGGCGATGCCGCGGAGGGGCCTTGATGATGGTGGGGGAGAATGAGGCAATGGAACAACAGCAGGCTAGGCAGACAGAAGGAAAGGTAGTAAGAAACCATGAAGTGGAAGGAATGGAAGAAAATCAGAAAAGAGGTTAGCAAGGCAGGCTGGCCCAGAAGGAGCTGGCCGTGGCACATCCTACCACGCCACCAAACTGCACGGTTCACCTGGGAGACTGAGTCATGCTCACTGGCCCAGAACAATGACTAATGCACCTCTTCCACTCTCAAGATGACCCAGTTAGCCTATAAAATATATGCAATTTAATTCTGCATATACAGAGAAATAGGCTGATAAAATTGAGAGATATTAAGGACTTTCTGGGTACATATTGATTTGACACATTATATATCCAAATAAATATTTCTGAGATGTTGTAATTACAAGCACAGGAACAAAATTAGAAGGTGCACTTTTGGAGTGCACCTAATTTTTTCTGTTATCTTTAGAAATGATGAGCTGGTCTTTGGGAAAAAAGGAAAATAATTTACATAAAAACGCTATTTGTGCTTCCAGACAATGACCTGACCTTGAACACCTCATGAACATCTCTATAACAGAGAATTAGGTTCTAATAAAGCTGACTGGAATTCTCCCCTAATACTATGAGGTTGTTAGACACTAACACTACAGTCACTCTCGCTGGAGCAAACCTCGCGGCAGGTGGTAGCAGATTAAAACTGCCACACGTATCCTGTTACATATTTGTAAGAACACGCAGGGAAAAATTCAATTAGGGAAACTCAATTACAATCAGAATGTGTTGAACATTTTGATTACTAAAAATAAGTTGCTAAAAGCACCATTACCTCAATTTTGGTTAAGAGGTCTTGCAGTTCTCCTGATTCGTTCATTGACAAAATTTTCTCAGCACCCTATTAACAAGAGAGGGCAGGGGAGAAAGAAAATCCATTTTGTTAGTATTTGAGAAAAAAAGTTTTAGACGGGAAAGTTTAACCCAGAAAATACTGGACAGGGTTTTTCACTTCCGATCTAAATAAACCTAAAACCAGTCTTCCCTGGAGGCTCAGTGGTAAAGAATCTGCCTGCCAATTCAGGGGACGCAGGTTCAATCCCTGGGTCAGGAAGATCCCCTGGAGAAGGGTATGGTAACTCACTCCATTATTTTTGCTGGGAAATTCCAAGGACAGAGGAGCCTGGCAGGCTACAGTCCATGGGGTCACAAAAGAGTCAGACATGACTTAGCAACTAAATAATAATGACAAAACCTAGATCCAGGAAACCAAAAGACTAGTATATCTCTTTCCTTTCACATATTCTCCCAGGTAGTAAGGCTAATGGTGGGCAAAAGGAAGATTGTCAGCAGAAGCTGAGTGATGGGAACCCACAGCTCTCAGATGAAGTCCAGACACGGAAGATTCCAGCACACCCTTTAGAGTTGTTCAGGAAGCTGAAGGCAGCCGCCTGGGAAAGGAAACCTCTGAGCAAATCCCCAGCCTGGGCCACCTCGGCCCTACTCCAGGCAGTCCTGGACCTCCCCTCCCTAGAGTCATACATGTAAACACCAGAGCAACTGATAGTAATAATGAAATTACTAAGCATCCACAAAAGTACATATTGTGAGTAGACACCCAAAATCATCTAATTTGATGTGGTGGATTCTCTTAATGGTAGAAAATGATGGCTGCTATCCAAAAGTCTACAAGCAATAAATGCTGGAGAGGGTGTGGAGAAAAGGGAACCCTCTTACACTGTTGGTGGGAATGCAAATTAGTACAGCCACTATGGAAAACAGTGTGGAGATTTCTTAAAAAGCTGGAAATAGAACTGCCATATGACCCAGCAATCCCACTTCTGGGCATACACACCAAGGAAACCAGATCTGAAAGAGACACGTGCACCCCAATGTTCATCGCAGCACTGTTTATAATAGCCAGGACATGGAAGCAACCCAGATGCCCATCAGCAGACGAATGGATGAGGAAGCTGTGGTACATATACACCATGGAATATTACTCAGCCATTAAAAAGAATTCATTTGAATCAGTTCTAATGAGATGGATGAAACTGGAGCCCATTATACAGAGTGAAGTAAGCCAGAAAGATAAAGACCATTACAGTATACTAACACATATATATGGAATTTAGAAAGATGGTAACGATAACCCTATATGCAAAACAGAAAAAGAGACACAGATGTACAGAACAGACTTTTGGACTCTGTGGGAGAAGGCGAGGGTGGGATGTTCTGAGAGAACAGCATTGAAACAAGTATACTATCAAGGGTGAAACAGATCACCAGCCCAGGTTGGATGCATGAGACAAGTGCTCAGGGCTGGTGCACTGGGAAGACCCAGAGGGATGGGATGGGGAGGGAGGTGGGAGGGGGGTTCAGGATGAGGAACACATGTAAATCCATGGCTGATTCATGTCAAATGTATGGCAAAAACCACTAGAATATTGTAAAGTAATTAGCTTCCAACTAATAAAAATAAATGAAAAAAAAAAAAAGAAAATGAGCCTCAGTGAGATTAGATAACAATTCCCAGGTCACCCAGAGAAAAAGCAGAGTTGGAACTAGAACACGAGCAGGGAATTTGCTCCAGAGCTGATGTTTTCAACTTTAAAATTTGACTGTGAAAAGGACAACAGAGGCCATGTATGTACTTTCCCACAAACCCATCGTGTCTCTTGGGACTACTCATTTTCCTTTCCTTTCCAGCCTCTACCTACCTTTACCCACTCTATTTCCCCACATCCAGCCATAGACAGGAAAGAAGGAAGACATTATTATTTCCCATCAAAGACAAGACCACTTCTGCCTTTTGCACATAATATCCCTGGCAAAGACTAAGTGTTGAATCCTTTTTTGATTTGGAGTAGGAAATGGCAACCCACTCCAGTATTCTTGCCCAGAAAATCCCATGCACAGAGGAACCAGATGGGGCTACAGTTCATGAGGTCACAAAGAGTTGGACACGAGTGACTGAGCATTCATGCATGCCATTTTTGATTCATCAAGACAGACAGAAATATCATCAGATAAAAAAATACTTTCTGGATTCCTGTTTGTGCTGAAGACACAAAGACTCATTTAAAAAATTTAAAAGGCCCTCGTGTTAGGAGGTTACAATACATTTTTATGTAAACACACAACCAAGTAACCCTCAAGAAGAATGGGAGATGACTGCTAAATGAGTGATGCAGGAAATGGATGAACCAGGAGATCCCAGCAGGGAGAAAAGAAGATCTGCTTATGGGGAGCAGAAAAGACTTTCTGAGGTTGGTCGCATTTGATCTGGACTTTGAAGATTAGGTGAGGCTTTTAAGACAGGCAGGAAACTCCACTAAGGATGTACGGGAGTCTTTAGTTTTGTGTTTCATTTACTTGAGTTTATTTTATATTGCTGCTAGTGGTAAAGAACCTGCCTGCCAACTTAGGAGACATAAGAGATGTGGGTTTGATCCCTGGATTGGCAAGATCCCTTGGAGGAGGGTGTGGTAACCCACTCCAGTATTTTTGCCTGGAGAATCTCATAAACAGGGGAGCCCGGTGGAGCTCTGGTGGGCAGAGTCAGATGAGACTGAAGTGACTTAGCACATGTGCACACATATCATCTTAACCACAATCAGCAATGTCCAACAAAGCACAGTGCATGAACATACAGGGCTACAACAGGGGAGCCCGGTGGAGCTCTGGTGGGCAGAGAGTCAGACGAGACTGAAGTGACTTAGCACATGTGCACACATATCATCTTAACCACAATCAGCAATGTCCAACAAAGCACAGTGCATGAACATACAGGGCTACAGAAAATGCATTCTCTTCCTTTGTCTGTCAATGGTTTTGCCAGGAATACAGATATGACTTACTTAGAGTGAGAACAAACTAAGGAGACATCAAAACAAAAACATTAAAAGCCTAAAATGTGGTAATAACTGGTATATTTTACCTTTGCTACATTCTAATTCTTTTAGGAGTTACAGGGGACATGGGTTCTCTGCATAAACTAAAATGGGAAAAGCCTCAGGAAATTTGGTACGTGAACTAAGCAATAAGGAGAATATCTGACTCATTTTGCTTCAGTGAAAGAAAATGGACCCCAGTGACTACAAAAAATATGAATGTACCCACGTCATGCATCTGCTTCCCAGATCTTTCCTTATCTTAGGAAGGTGCCTTAGTCTGCTGTTTAGAATACCCTGCACAGGTCAGAAAAGGACTGTCTCACTACCCCCAGATGCATGAAATTTACTCTCCAGCCAAATCGTTCCAGCACCATCAGGACTTCAGGAGCAGACTCCACGTTTCATGAGCAACTCAGGCTGTGCCCACATAAGCCCTGTGACGAAAGGCGTGAGAGTCTATGCTCTTGGAGACATCTGCATGGCTGTAGCACAGATGCTGGACCAAGTCCTTGAGGCGGGAAAAGCTCTGCTCTCTAGTGGAGACCTAGGAGCTAAGAGTTTCCGCCCCCGTCGCTGCAGCTGCTCGCTGTGGCCTCTGCCACAGCTCCACGCGGCCGGACCACCCCTGGTCTCCTTGGGAGGAGCCCCTGGGCCCTGTGCTATGTACTGAGCGGTCACAACAACCAAAATCGCCTGCTCGCCCACAGGGCTCCACGTCCGCACCTGCACCTGACCCTGTCCTTGCTGAATCTAAGCGCGAGATCCTACAGGGAGGACAAGGGCATCAAACGGTGTCCTCTCTGCTCTTCAGCAGCAGCTGCAGGATGGGCATCTCAGCCTCACTGGCAAAGACTGTGGGCTTTCGTGGTGACTCACCAGTAAAAATTCTGCCTGGAATGCCTGCCAACGCAGAGAGAAACTGGAGTTCTCCCATCCCGAGACGGGACATTTACCAGGGCAACTCCCAACCTGATATTTACCAAGGTAACTCTGTCTGCACTGTATTTACATATTCCAGAGGTCTTATTCCATACTGTTTTCCATCGAGAGCTTTCCAATTATTACTTGACCAATAATGAAGCCCTTGTGTCCATAAAAGGGAGTGTATTTCCTTAAGCATCCCTATTTTGGGGAAATAGTCTTTTTTGCTGGCTGGTATTTGGCTAGGAATGTCACATGTGAGTTTGTTGCTTTTAAAATATAATTCCACATATAATTCCACGTAAGTCGAAATTAATTAATGATTCTATTGATTGGCACAGTTTGCCAAGACCGCCAATATACCTGTGGAAGTATTTCTAGTATATTTTTCAGTTAATGTAGAATCATGGTTTTTTTTCTGAAAATTAATATCTTCCTGAAAACAGTGATAATAGCAATGTGTTCAGTGATTTACAGATACTGGCTCTCCTAGTTATCGGTGTGAAGTAAGTATTATCGTCAGGATTTTTGAAATGAAGAAACCCGAGTATGATGATGAGGGCAGTGCGCCAGGCCTTTCTGTCTGTCAAATACAAGGCCTGGGGCACCTCCCTCACGCCCTTCATCCTTTAGTTTCTTCGTCTCAAAACCTGCGATCATAATGCTCACTTTGATAGTTTACATATGACGACGTGGCACATGTAAAGCCAAAATGATAGCTATGATTGAGCATGAAGTTTGACTCTGAGCCAGCTCCTCCACTGAAACAAAGTTTTCTTAGCACAACAGTTTACACAATGCAATGCCTTACATAAGAGTTTAGAAGAAGTGGCTGATATAATAAGTAACCCTTGCCTTTTTATTAACTATAAAACATTAATATTTGTCATTGTTATTGTTTAGCCCCGAAGCTGTGTCTGACTCTCTGTGGCCCCATGGACTGTAGCCTGCCAGGCGCCTCTGTTTATGGGAGTTCCCAGGCAAGAATACTGGAGGGGATTGCCATTTCCTTCTCCAGGGACCTTCCGAACCCAAGGATCGAACCCGGGTCTCCTGCATTTGCAAGTGTTGGCGGGTGGATGCT